TAGCAGAATTGACACCAGTGGAGCCTCAGGTATGTAACATCAACCCACAGCTAGTTAAGGAAAAGCAACCCTGGACGTTCTACGTAGATGGATCATCAAATTTTTGAGGATGTGGAGCAGGACTTCTATTAGTCTCTCCAAATAAGGAGAGATTCAAATACGCACTGCGATTCAGTTTCTATGCATCCAACAACGAAGCCGAGTACAAGGCTCTGCTAGCAAGATTAAAGGCAGCTAGACACATTGGGGTCAAGAACATACTGATATTCAGTGATTCGCAGCTAATTGTAAGTCAAGTAAAAGAGGAATTCCAGGCTAGAGAACCACGGATGACGAAATACCTTTCCGGGTAAAAGACCAGCTCAGCCATTTCTCAAAATATGAGATTCGACAAATTTCTCTTACTCAGAACGTCAACACGGATGCATTAGCTCGACTAGCTGCAGCTTATGAAACCGACCTAGGAAGAATTGTGCCGGTCAAACTTTTGCCCCAGCCGAGCATAGAAGCTCAGGAAGTAATGGATATCGACAAACAATGGTAGCCGAAGAAAATTGGATGAGCACCTTGGTCAAGTATTTGAAAGACGGGATCTTACCTACTAAGAAGATAGAGGCCCAACAACTACAACGACGAGCGGCCAGATATGTGTTTTAAGACGAAAGTCTGTATAAAAGAGGTTACTCACTGCCACTCTTAAAATGTTTAACGCCCGACGAAGCTGACTATGTCATGAGAGAAATACATAAGGGCGTTTGTCGGAATCATTCTGAAGCACGATCCCTAAGTCACAAAATAGTACGACAAGGATATTATTGGCCGACCATGATAAACGACACGATGCAATCTACCAAACAATGCGACAAATGCCAGCGGTTCACAATGATAGCTAGGAAACCGTCATAACCTTTAACAAGCATAATGAGTCATCGGCCCTTTGCTCAATGGGGAATAGACCTTATAGGTCCTCTCCCGTTAGGAAAGGACCAGACCAAATTTGCAGTAGTGGCAATCGACTATTTCACCAAATAGGCTAAAGCAAAAGCTCTAGCTACTATTACAGAGAAAAAGGTCACCGACTTTATATGGAAAAATATCATTTGCCGCTTTGGAATACCCTACACCATTATCAGTGATAATGGGAAGCAGTTCGACAATACTGCCTTTCGAGAGTTTTGCAGGGAGTTGGGCATTAAGCATATATGTTCTTCACCAGCGCACCCACAAGTCAATGGGCAGGTTGAAGCAGTTAACAAAATCATCAAAATGACTCTAAAAACCAGGTTAGAGAAACTCAAAGGATTATGGACAGAAGAACTTCCCAACGCGTTATGGGCCTACAGAACTACACCTTGTACATTGACGGAAGAAACGTCGTTCTCGCTATCATTTGGTTTTGAGGCAGTGGTGCCAGTAGAGATTGGGCTTCCTTCCCAAAGGATAGAGCAGTTCAGTCTACTAAACAACAATGAGTCCGTACAACTCAACCTTGACCTATTAGAAGAACATCGATAAGCAGCGCCACTACGAACGACTGAATATAAGAATCGAATAGCCCGATACTACAACTCGAAGGTTAAGAAGCGTGACTTTATATAAGGTGATCTTGTCTAAGAAAGATCATGCCTAATACCAAAAAATCAACTAGTGGGGCATTCGGGCAAACGTGTGAGGACCCCTACAAAGTCACTAAGGTGGTTCGAACAGGCATGTATGCCTTGGAAGACCAACAAGGGAAGGCCTTACTACACCCATGGCACACCCAACACCTCAAGAAATACTACCACTAGTTCGACGCATGTATTTTAGGCATTTTATGTTTTGGACCTCCGACATCTTGGACAAACTAAAGTTATTTTATTCTAATTGGTTCTCCGACAGGACGATTTTTCTACTAATAGAAGTCTTCGACATTTGACACAATACTTGAGTTTTTTATATTCATTCTGAAATAAATTTCTCAAGTAGGGGTCACTATATGTGAGTATCTACGACCAGTCAAGAAACTCAAAATTTGGACAGACTTAGATGCAAGTCAAAAAGGCTCAGCATGGTCAAAACTAAAGTAGGGGAATACAAGAAATAAAACTATTTGGCATAAAAGCCAAACAAGTTAGAAATCCGAAAATATCAACGCTGGTTCGGCTAAAGTTAGATCCCAAGGCTAAAGAGGAACGGTTAAAACCGGATGAAGGTAAAACCAATCTCAGGAAACTTGATTGTGATCAACAAAAATTGGAAAAACTTCCGGTTCATGAAATAATATCGACGAGTTCGAGGTATAAAACAAGTAGCAAAAACCAAGCATCAAAAAATCCAAAACTGGATACAAAGAAGATTTTGGTAGAAGCTCTATGGATTAGAAACCTTGGTGTAGTTAACCACTAGTACGAGGCTATGAATGATCTCATGATAGCAGCAAACGACAAATACTTTCAAAACAAAAGTCTTGACACAGTAATTCGTCTTCTGTTTTGAGAGTGGAGGCCATTGTTATAGGGAACAAAAGCAAAGATTAGACCA